CAAATCAAAAGGTAATTTGACTGCACATCCAGTAATTTGATCTATTCCATCAAATGCCAGCAATGCCCCACTGCTATATATATTGGACAAACTGGACAGTCCCTATAGGGAAGAAACAATGGACATGACACGAATCAGATATACATAAAGGGAACATACAGAAACCTGTTGGGGAACACTTCAAGCTACCTAATCACTATTTAAAAGATCTTCAAGTGGCTGTCTTGTCACAAACCAATTCTACTCACCAAATACACAGAGATAATGGCTGGCTGGGACATTATCAAATATAACATTCAATGAAGATGTCAACAGCTCTTTGTCTGTGTAGATTCTTGCATTAGTACCCTTCCTACCTAATTGCTATCCTTTGATGGTTCTTTTAATTTAATCCAATCTTTAGGTGCTTACTTATTTCCAGTTCTGCCTATTTGGTTTTCCCTTTGATATTTTCATATCTCTGCTCCTTATTTCCCGCCTCCTTCCATTTTTTTCCCTTCCCTCCTCTCCCTTCTCGCCTATTTATTTTGGGTCTTCACATCCAAAACTCAAAACTCCGGTCATCTGAAGAAGTGGTCTGTGTCCACAAAAGCTCATGATACCATCTACATGTTTTGTTAAAGTACTACCAGACCATTTGTTGTTTTCTAAGTTTATCCTGTACAGACTAACTCAGCTGCCCCCTGAAACTTCTTACATCTTATATGTTAGTAAAACTAAATACAATGTGGCAGCCACCAGAGGGCAGAACAGCTTTAAAAATAATGGTTTTGACATCCTGTCAAGACTCACAAATATAGCACTTCTCATATGACAGCAAAATGTAATCCTAATTGAATGACAATCCAAAATATCAGAAATAAGATATTTTCAAAGCTTTTTGTTGGACAGATGATCAATTCATAATCATTGATTTTTAAGATCAGCAGGGATCAATTTGATAAAGATGATGGAGAATCCACCACATCCATTGATAAAATTAGCTTCACTGTTAAATATTTACACTTTATTTCCCTTTTGTATTTGTATAGCTTCACCTTCCAACCTTTGGCTTTTGTTATACATGTGTCCTAAACTATAAGAGCTAGGACCACCACATCTGGTATGCAGCTTCCTCTTATAACTTAAAGCAGAGCTTCTCAACATGCAGCCCGAGGCCCATTTGTTTGCAGCCCACGGTGCAGTTTGGGTTTACACAGGGCTCAACACGTGGCCCAAAGGTGGGATCCTTTGAACATGGCCTCGACTGGGAACATGCTTCACAACGGCGAAGTGTCTCCCATGTGGAGTGAGCATTGAAAGACGCAAGCAGACGGGCTGACTGGAACAGACGGGTACAGGGTGTCGGATTTTCTAGCCTTGAGCGAGGAGGGGCTGGGAGCGCTGGGGCATTGTGGGAATGTTGGGCAGGTTAGCCCAAGTGCTGGCTGCTTAGCCTTGTGGGCAGAGCCTGAGAGGTACTGACTGGTTCACACTGGCCATGTTTGGGTCTGGTGCCACAGCTAAAGGCTTAAATCTTTGTATTCATGCCTGTCAGTGTGCAAGAAGCTATTTGCATATATTTGCATATTTATTTGCCTGTAGATGCAACCACACTTAAGTTGCAGCCTTCTGCATGTCCTGAGTATCCTTGTGGCTCCTGGGGCTTCCCAAGTTGAGTAGCCATGACTTAAAGGGTTATGGTTATGCAGAGTAGGAGGGGCTCAATCAGTGTGTACAGGGGACACACAAAATCATACAGAAGAGAGACAGAATCACTAGGCAGGTGAAAAAGTGTCCCCCCCAATCTGGGACTACCCCAGCCCCGAGCCTCTCACCCCCAGGCCTCCTTTTTGGAGGCCAGGGGGTCTGCAGTTCTCTCCCCTCCCCTGATTAATATGAGAACATTGCTGTTTCTCTTTATCAGGGAGCAATGGGAAAGTGCACAATTTGCTTCATTCCTCACTCTCTCTGGGGAGTGCAGGGGGCAGATGAACCTAGACTTGCCCCAGCCCGGGGATGTGTACCCTTCCCCTGGCTGCACTGGCTGGAGCTGCAGTGGCCACGGAGAGGTGCTTCTCACTGGGCTCCAAGCTGCTGCAGTGACAGAGGGCTGGGGTAGTTCTCTCTCCCTGGGGCAGTCTGCATACTGAGCCTCCATCCCCTACCCACCCCAGATCTGAGCAACGTTGGGTAAATCTTCTAGTTAATAAATATTTGTAAAACTCAACTCCCTCCCATTCAGTTTCTTTGTGCTATTTTCCAAAAGAGGGGGTAAAGTCCCAATTAACCTACAGGCTGTATCAATTTATCTGTCAAAGGCAGTCTCTCATTTCCTGAAAGTTCTTGTTTGCATATGCTGCATAATATTTTTTCATAATTATATGTAAAAATAAAATCTTGCTGGGTGGATTTATTGCTATTTATATACTTTCTGGACAATATTACAGATGGAGAAAGGGTGATCTGATGACATGCACTTTTCCCATGTAATATGGCAATGGTGGAACAATCTTCATGTGTGTATATAAAGAAAATAAAATAAACCCATACAGCCCTTTGGAAAGTTTCAAATAGTGTGCCAGAATTAGCTACGGTTTAACTATGGTAAGAAATAGAGCCCAAAAACGAGATTTTAATGTCAGTTATACCACTCGGATCCCAAATCAAGTGGTTTCAACTGAGTTGCTCTGGCTTTTTATCCATGTCACTGGAAGCAGAATCTCTGAGATATTTTCCATAACTTGGCTAGCAAACTTGACGCACTTGATTATAGATTTGCTCATATACAAATGCTATCAAATGTTAACAGAGAATGTTACATTAACTCATTTATGATTTTTATAATTAGATCATTAACCAGCCCAGTTTGGTTCATTTCTAACTTCAGAAGACTTTAACCGGGAGATTTCAGAAATCCTTCTGCAGAATGCACTGCTTAGTTTGTAAAAAGGCTGTTCAAAATGTACACATCAAACAATGACCAAATGTCAGCATTCATCTGATATCTCAGAGGCATGTGTTTTGACATTGTTGGAAGCAGAGTTGTCATGAAGAGGCCACGTAAGCAACAAAACTAAGTCCAATGTATTAATCATTTCAAAATCAGCATACATTATGTCCTGCATTTTGTGACATATGGGGATTTCTTGTTGTGGCTTTCTATATTGTACTGCAGTATTATCAAGGACTGACTAGAAAAGCAAATTTCTTAACACTTACCAATCCTTTCAAAGGGAAACACGCACACTTGTCTATTTTCCAAGTAATATGTAAAATGGGATTTTTTAAAGAGAAAAATATATATTTTGTAGGCTTTGTGTATGCAACTATGCTGTGACCAAGATGTGTACCTGAATTTAGACCCAATTCCATATTCAGGCATCTAAGAAGAAATGCTGGCTTTGGTGATGTCAGTAGGAGTTTTGCCATTAATTTCAGTGGTATTAGGATTTCTCCCATTGTGCCTGATTAAGACCCCAAATGAATGGACTTATTTTCAAAAATCTCACACACCTAAAAATCTCCCATTGTCTTAAAAAGGAGCCACAAAACTTGGAAAGAAGATTCAAGCACAGGTGTAGTTTGTCAAAACACTTATCTCTACATAACAGTCCAAAGACATAGTAAATTTGAACAATTTAACAGGGTAAGTAATTTGTTTCCGTATTCCAGGCTATATTTTTTTCAAACTGAGTTCTATGGTCTATTCTACACTAAAAAGTTGCACTGCTTTAACTATCCTCATGTAACTAAAGCAATGCCATTATAAAGGAGCTTTATGTGGATATAGCTTTACCTACACCGGAAGACAAATATACTAGTTTGTCACTTTTATCAGCATAATGACATCCACACAAGGGCTTGTAGCGATATAGCAATACCTCTAAAATAACCATGCTCCTAATGGCATGATTACACAGTGTAAGTCACTTTCCTGTGTAGATCAGGCATAAGCATGCTATAAGGGAAAGCGTGTGCAATGAACAGGGGTGGCCCGAGACTAGCTGCCAGAAACTGGCGCCCTAGGCGAACCATGCAATCGGTGCCCCCACTTCCAAGCCCCTCAATGATATTGCGCCACTATTTGGTGCCCCATTTAACTTGGTGCCCTAGGTGACTGCCTAGTTCGCCTATATGGACGGGCCACTCCTAGCAATGAACAGGACCTAATCATTACTTGGGCAAAAGTCCCACCTGATGTCAACAGAAGTTTGACTTTTAAAGATGGAACAATCAGCCATAGAATTATTTTCAGAAGGGAAACCAATGAGCCTAATGCAACAGCAAATAATTCTATGTGAGGTATTTTTCAGACGTATGTTAGTCCTCCAAAAAATATAATCAATGTGTCATTTTCAGAAGCTTCAGGGAGAGAACACCATGTTCGCAACTGCTCAGTGTGGCCTTGCATAGACCCTTGTATTTGGAAGCTACATACAAAGCTTCTAGCAGATCCTTTGAGCTGGTTCATACAAACCAGAGTCTTTGAAACTAAGCTGTTTGTAACAGTCAACCTTATTTTACTGATGCTAAGACCAAACTGTTATGGAATATAAATAGTTGTTCTTCTCTCATTGCTTTTAAGTTCTCACAAGTGTTAGCTGCAGTCTTATGAACTTCCCAAGGAAGTTCCAAAATTATGTAAGAAGAGGTCAGTTTCTTGAACACTTGCATCATAATTCCCTGACTTGCAGAAGAGTGTGGTCAGCTCCTAATATCCTACCACTCCTTCACTTCTAGGCATAATTCCAAATATTAACTGATGCATTTAGCCCACAGGTAGTACAGCTAATCCAGGTTCTCTCAACTCTTCTATCCTCCTCTTCCCAGGTTTCAATCTTCAGTTCTTTGTCCCTACCCACTCCCATTGCAACTGGCTGTTGCCCAGTGGGTGCCAACTATTCTGAAAATACAAAAGGGGAACTTACATACCAGACCACACCCACAAACCCACTTGCTTATTTTGGTATGCAATTGGTTTTTACTTTCCAATGCCTCATTTTGCACATAAAACAGCCTGTTTTTAAAAATAAAACCATTTATTTGTATACCCAAGGAAAACTTGTGGTAAGAGTCACAAAGGAATAAAGAATTAGGCTCACAGAATACACAGGAGGTTATACAGTTGACACATAGAAATAAGTGTGCAGAATATACATGAAATTGTGCAGACTAATAATACCAACAGGAAGCAACAATAGGACATTAACATAAGGCTGGCGACAGATGTTGTCAGGCCCTGGACTCTGTGTGTGTGCGCGCACGTGTATGCGGGGAGGGGCTCTCCTGTGGCCCCCGGGGAGGAATGTTGGGCAGAAGGGGCAGGCTGTTCAGTGCCTTCTGATTTGTTCAAAGGCCTGTAAATGAAGCAGTTGTAAGAGAGGGAAAGCCTTGCAAACTTACCCTGCTGAGCAATCACATTGAATTACTGGATCAAAGTCAACAGACGGGCATTACATCAAGGCTCTGCCATTTCACAAGAATACAGCAAAATTCACACAAGAGGGATATTCATACTTTAGGCGATTTCCTTACCCAAGTCACTGCCTCAAAGTACTGCATTCAATTCTGGTTCACTTTTATTAGCAGTTCAACTATGTCACTGCATAAGGCACAGATAGACATCAATGCTAAGGAACTTGGCAAAGGATCACAGGAGGGATCTAAGGTATCTGAGTAATTCTATTGTGAAATGAAGAATTTAAGTGAAAATTAGTAAGAATTTAAATTATAAGTTCTGACTGGATGAAGAGGAAACTGGATCAGGTTCTCAACTATAGCTCTGTCTTCTCTTTTATGGAGAAGCATATCTGCCAAAGAAGAGTATGCTTTGTGTTGGTTTGTGACGAATGAAGAAAAGGAAAGGGTGGTCAGCATTAAAATCCTCTTCCATAAGCATGCAGAAATTAGCAATGGCAGCAGTGGCAGCTGCAGCTTCTGTACCTTCTTCATTCACGTCTATGAAAGACTTGTGTACAATTTGGGAGAGAAAGAGGTTTCGTGCACCTGACATTCCAGACAAGTCAGCCTTGCCACAGTCAAATATATCCTGGAGGCCAAGACCAGTTAACGCTGATTTAAGGTCATAGCTGTCTTCCAGCTTAAATTTAGGCAGATGCACATGAGTATCAATGGGGTGCATATTTTGTGGTTGTGTCCATTCCTGAAGCTTTTCTAAGGTGAGCTGCTTCTCTAGCTGGAATTATAAGCACAGAGATCATTAAATTGTGAAGTAACATTCTGACATACCACCAATGTAAAAGTATTTCTCTTCCAAAAACATTTAAAATTCAGTATTGAAAACACTGTCTATAATGGGATACAAAGTAAAGTGAATACAGATATAAAAGGTAAGACTCCAATCTTCCCTACCTCTATACAAATCCACATTTAATAATTATATTAAATCCCATGAAGTTGTTGCAAATTTACATCCCAGTAACCAACTTCAGAATCTGATCCAAAGTATCCAATTTTAAATCACAGATTTTTGCTTTTTGTTGCTCTGTAGAAAGGACTTATAGAAATCTGTACTAGTAACTTAAAAAAAAAAAGTCCTATCCCTTCATCTAACTTCTGGGAACTGTTAAGTCACTAAAACCTGATAATGAAAATAATTAACAATCACTGAAGAGACATCTACACAGCAGTGCTTAACTCAAAATAAGCTACGCAGCTTGAGCTATGCTAATTGCGTAGCTTAAGTCGAAATAGCTTATTTTGAATCTGGTTATGTCTACACAGCAGTTATTTTGAAATAGAGCACTCTTCCTCCGATTTCCACTAATCCTCATAAAATGAGGGTTACAGGAGTCAGAGTAAGAAGTCCTCCAGCTGGACATTATTTTGAAATTATGTTGAAATAACTGCTTGTGTGTAGATGCACACTTTGTTATTTTGAAATAATACCCTCTTTGACCCTTCAGTAATGATGATCAGCTTCACCATTTGAAAGCACATATAAGACGACTTCCAAAGTAGCTAAAAGAAAAACTCCCATCATTTAAAAAGAATCCAGTTTATTGTATGTAAACTATTTTTTATTTCACTTTGTCAACCACTCCAGGCAAACCACCTATGTCACCAGAAGGGAGAGGATTAGCAGAGCATCCACTACACTCACCCAACTTGAGAAGATCCCCCCTACTTTGAACTAACCCTATTGTGGGTAGTTACTCAGTCTCCACAGCCAGATTCCTCCAACAAGCATGGCACAAAGCAGATGCAGTGTCCCATAGAAACCATACTATTTGGTCAGTAAAACCCCTCTACACTTTGAAAATAAAGAATAATAATGATTAAGCAATTGAGGACTATCAGAGGATGGTGATAACTGGAAACAGCAGGATTTTCCCCTTATTAATTCTTATTCTTTACTGTTCTATTGGTAGGATGAACAGGTGAAGGCATAATGTTGAAGCCTACAATTTGTGGCCCTCAAGGGGTAAAAGGCAGACTAAAACCAAGGTTTTGTATTACATGAAAACTGAAATTAAACTGAAGGAGAAATTGAGACTGGTTTGTATAAATCACCTTCTGGAGCCCAGTGGAGTCATCATTAATGTCATCGGGTAACAAGATGATCATGCTAAGATCTTTTCCATCATAAGGAAGCTCTAACATGCGGCATTTCAGCTCTGAGATATACCCAAAAGGGAATTTTTCTTTCTGATACATCATTTGCACAGGCTTTTTTTCTTTCTTGATGGTTTATAAAAAAATACAGAAAAAAAAATTAAATTAACATTTTTCATAAACTGAGATAACACTGACAAGTTAAAAATCAGATTTCCTTACCTATGTTAATTAACAATATCTTAGATCAAAAACTGACTTAAAAACTAAATTGCTTTTCACTCTATGATTTACTCCCTCTGCTCCCCTTAGTTGTCTTAGGCAATGAAAGCGCATTCAGGTCAGATTCACTAATGCTTGATTAATTAACAGTTCTTTGATTATGTAGTGCTATATAAATGCTAAGTACTATTATTTTCAGTTTTGCTTTTGATTTCTCTGACCTAACATAATGCTTACTTCTTTGATTGCAGAAATTAACCTAGATTCTTCATTCAATTGTAGCTCCTCTAAGCTCCTCCAATAGCAAGAGGGGCCACAAACTGTACTGATGGCCTTTGTAATAGCTATCTCTAGGTACTGTAGAACTCTAGATTTGCTCTGCATGGTCTATGGGTGCCAATCCTCCATGACTCTTGTGGAATGTCCAGGAATTAATCCTTAATTAAAGATTATGTCATGCGCTGACACCTTCAGGAATATGTCCAACCAAAATTAGCAACCCTAGTATGGTTCCTCCCATGGTTACAGGCACAAGAGGCACAGCCTTGTGCAAAGTAAATGGTGATTCAGCCATGCTCAGTTAGCATAACTGCTTCCTGGGAGACATTAAAAGTACAACATAAAGCTCTAAATTGTGTTTGGGGAAAACAGGTCTCTCTCCAGAGATGGTGTATGTGAGGGGCACATATAGCTTAATACCACATTTTCCTACACTCTCCCATTCCTAAAGAAAATGGAGGAGCAATGAAACACAGAGTCTAGGCCATTGCAGGGAAATCATTTATATCCAAACAAAAACTGTTTGAATAAAATTTAAAAGAAAACAAGCCATGAAAATATTTCTATTCACATTTAGTTTGTAATTTTTAAAAATTTTATAAAAACTTTAATTATAGGCCTAAATTCCCCACCAGCTTCCATTTATAGATATTTCACTACAAGCAAAAAAGATAACAGCACATTATCACATTACCTTATTTAATCGAAATTGCATTTCTTTCGTGTTTGTTTCCTTAAATTTCTCAGCCCAACTTCCCTTGAAATAAATAGCATTCACCAACACTAGTTTGGTCATACTATTCACTGAGCTCTCAGACAACAGTTTGGGGATTTTACCTTCAAAGTAATAAAAAGTCATTACAACATTATTTTACATTTTTAAAAAATCCACTGTCTTAATTCAAGAAAAGACTTCTGATTTTCCCCCCAAAACAAATACAGTATATTTAAGCACCCATCTCCGTTGTATTATATTACATTATGCTGCGTTCCTCAGCAACATTCCATATATAATAAGTTCACAAAAGTGTAAATCCTTACAGCCTAAATTTTCAGAAATGCATCATTTGTGCGTGCTCAACGGGGCCTGATTTTCAAAAAGTGTTAAGCATATGCCATCTGGCAATAGGGCTTCTTTAATGTACTTACAGTAGGGCACCCAAAATTTAGATAAATGCAAGTTCTACCTTTCTAGTCCAGCACCCTCAGGACCTGACTCGTGCTGAGCTCAAGAATTTGCCTAATGACAGGAGGTCAATATTGTCTAGTAGTGTTGCCAACACTTCCACTGCTTGCTGGGCTCTTAGAAGACATTTACAGGTAAGTTAGAGCTAAATAGCAGTACAGAACACTGGGTTGAGATTGATGGCTGCCTGTAAATAAATGTTATGGGACTGCGGAAAACTTGGCCACACCCATGATAAGTGGACATCCAGATAACTAAAATCAAGATGTTGCTGCATCAAAGAGCATCAGACTAGACAAGTTGAACCTGTACATGATTTAAGAATCTACGACCAAGATTTTCAAAATTAAATGTCTAAATTTAGGCTCCTAAATCCATATTTAGACACCTATTTTGGCAATTGTTGGCCTTAATGTTTGAAAATGTGAATATCTTTTGAGCTATCTAGCTGCCATAAACACCATGCTTATGCATTTTCTGATTTTACTAGCTATGCTACTGGCTGGTAAAACGAGATGGAACAATTTGAATGGCAGCAGAAAAGGAGGACATATCCCTATTGATTGGCAATAAAAAGATGCCATTTAGTTAACTAATCAAAATCTCTTACCTTCAGTTTGCTCCCCTACCCATTGGTTAATTTGTTTCCTTGCTTCATCTGAAGCATGCAGAAAATCAACTGTAGCCAAATCAGCTCGATATAATTTCTGAGTCTTTGTCAAGAAGTCCTAGAATACATAGTCAGAAGGAAAAATTTTCATTGCACATATCTTTATAGTGATGCTTGAAAGGACTAGATTTTTTTCAGTATATGTTGGTAAACATCTATTTCATCATACACATATATAAACAAACTGATAAAGACATTTCCATCAATAATAACTGCAATTTACAGATAAGCAAAGTATGAAAAATGCTACCTGCTAGAGTGTGATTTAAGGATCTTTGGTTTGTATATTTTGACATATGACGGTGACAATTTGTATTTTAACTGTTAGGTAGCTTAACTTTTTAAACTGCTACTTTAATTAAATCACTACTGTCTGACCTATTCATTTTTAGACACATGTCCCCCCCAATAATTTCCCTGAATTGTGAACATTTAACCTGATACATACAGGCAAAAACTACTATCTGCCAAAATTTTCAAAAAATAAAAATAGAATTCTGCCAAGCCTATTGGGAGCCTTGTAAAGCAACCCTAACTTAGATTATGTAGCTGACCTATCTCAAGGCTTGGGTGAACTGATTGACAGAGACAGGTGAACAAGACTAATATGTCAATGCTCCCATCATGCATGAATATGAACTGATTTCTTATTACTGATGTTTCAGTGTTAGACTTTTTAAACAGGGTGAAGTTCACTCCCTAGCAACAGGCCCACACAAGCCTATACAGGACTGAACCCTGACTGAGAGTGTAAGTGGGACATAAGTGGCCTTCAGTCCTCATATAGGCTCTCTGCATAGGGGTGAATTTCACCGGTGGAAGATATGTTGGTTTTAAAGTACCACTGATCTAGCTAGTGGGTGGGATTTTCAAAGATACTTGTGGGGTAGCAGCCCAAACCACACTGAAAATCACCTAACTTCCATTTGTACCCTTAAAATTCCATCCCTGTATTTACAGATTTATTAGTTTGATAGCCAGAAGCATAGAAGGATATCAGACTGCTACTTCCCAAAACAGGGTGCTACATTTGTAGCCAAAAATGTTCGTCTTGTACAGGGATGGGCAATAAAACAGTGGTGGGCCACCAGGTTTATTTATTTGTGCCTTCACAGGTGTAGGTGTTTGCAGCTCCCATTGGCCAGGAATGGCGATCCATGGCCAACGGAAGCTGTGATTCCCTGTACCTGTGGAGGCACAGGTAAATAACGGCAGTGTGAAAACCTGCCAGGGACTAACCCTGGCATATCGGATACAGGGCACAGGCTGGTATTTGCCCAGCCCTAGTCTTGTGGGTTGTTCAACTGACCTCACAGTTTTTACCTCATAATATACAAAGTATTAAGTTAGTCTGCTTGGAATCATGGCAGTTATGTTGTTATGATTTAATTCCAAATTGTATTAAGATAAATTGTATTCCAGTGGGAGTTTTGCTACTGACTTCAAGAGGGGCAGGACCAAAAATGACAGGGACAGGACCCTAACAGAAATGGGAAGTAACTGATGACTGATCTTCGAAAAATTCTACAGAAATTCCGTCACATGAGCTTCTGAATGAACTTACCTCTAAAAAACTGTAGGTCTTCTCTCCATAAAGCCGATTGGCAAGCTTCAACAGATAGGGAGCTCCACTTCTGTTTATGTCAGAGGTCAGGGTCTGAAATCTTGAATGAAGCTCTTCCACAACATCAAAATGAAGGGTCTGGATAAAAAGAAATTATCTGGCCATCACTGATATAGTGTAAAATGCATATCAATTAATACAGAATATTTGGGAGTAATGGAGAAAAAACCAAACAATGTTTGCTTTCTGATTTCAAACTACTGAAAACTTCAGCTAGTGCAAAATCTAGTGATTTAGAGGCAACTCAAATGTATCACCTGCCCTCAATCACTTAGTTGAACTGTCTACTGTATCTGGGCACAATTCAAACTGTTTATTTTCATTTATAAATAGGTTGGCAGCTCTCCTCCTATGTGCCATCCAGCCACAGAGATCTGTTGGGACACTAATGATAGTCCCCAGATATTAAATCTGCATGTAAGATGATCCAATAAAGGGATGGTCAGTTCTCAAATTCACTTCTCCTTTTAGTTTTGCTCCCTTGGAGCACACTGCAAGCCCTATCTGTTCTCTCAGACCTCATTTGAACATGTTAGGAAGGTGAGCGTGTGCTGATGTAGTGTGATTTCTTTTATTTTTAATAGATTATGTTAATATAAATGCTGCCACATAGTACTGATGGCTGATAATTAAAAACATTAAATATATCACTGTAATTTCTCTTTTAAGGACATACTTCCTCTCAGAGGGTACGTCTACACTACAGCGCTAATTCGAACTAACTTAGAACTAAAAACTAGTTTGAATTAGCGTTTTGCTAATTCGAACTAGCATGTCCACATTAAGTGGACCCTGAACCGGGCTTAAGGATGGCCGGAAGCAGTGCTGGCAGGGCATCAGAGGAGGACTTAGAGCGTGGAGATGCTGCCTCAGGCTAGCCGAGGGCTGCGCTTAAAGGGTCCCGACCCCCACCCCGGACAGACAGTTCTCAGGGGTGCCCCGCTTGCAAAGCAGTCCTGGCTTGGAGTGCCCTGAGTGCCCACACTGGGCACATCACAGCACTCGGCCATCAGCC